CCTTAGCCACCTGAGCCACAGGTGCCGAGCCCTTTTATTTTTTTTTAATTATTTTTTTTGAGACAGAGTCTGAATCTGTTGGCCTGGGTAGCATGCCATGGCATCATCATAGCTCACAGTAACCTCCAACGCTTGGGCTCAAGCTATCCTCTTGCCTCAGTTTTTTCTATTTTTAGTAGAGATGGGGTGTTGCTTTTTTTCAGGCTGGTCTTGAACTCGTGAACTCAAGCAATCCACCTGCCACAGCCTCCTAGAGTGCTAAGATTACAGGCATGAGCCACCACACTGGCCTCAAAGCAGTTTTAAATACATTATATCCCACCAAGGTTGGCAAGAACTGGTATTGGGGGAATTATCTCATGGTCACATGGTTGAATGGAAGGGCTGGGAACAGAATCCTAGTTACTTGATTCCTAGTCCAGTGTTGAAACTCACCTCTTGAGTAGCAACATGGTGTAGACCAAGAACATTAGAGTAGGAATCTGGAGACTCGGAAGTCCTGACCCCCAAAGTAACTAGCTCTAAGCCTTTGAACAGTCTCTTTACCTAGGCCTCAGCAGGTACCATAGGGGAAGAAATTTAGGAGTCAATCTAAATTAAGGTTAGTGACCTGGCCAAAGTCAAATGTTCACTGTAGTGTTAGAGTAAGTGCTTTACATGCTTTATCTCACTGAATTTAGTTGCTACAACAGCCCATACTAATGCAGCCTTCATTTTATAGATATGGAAACTGAGGACTCAAAGGGAGTGAAGTTATTTGTTCTCGGTCACCTAAAAAGTCAGTAGAAGTGCTGGGACTGAACCCAAGTCAACCAGAACTTCATGCTGCCTTGCAAAATAGTGCAACACCTATTGTCTCTTTTCCCCATACCACCCAGCTGATAGTCACCTCACTACAGCTTCTATTTTACCACTTTATACTTCTTTGTTCATTATTATTCACTTATTTCCTAACTATTTAGAGTCCCTATTATACTCCAGGTACTTTTCTGTGAGCTGAGGATGTGAAGGAAGTAAAAAGACATGATTTCTGCTTCTGCAAAACTTCCTGTATAATAAGGGAGGCTGATATTGATCAAATAATGTCATATAGAATAGTAAAGTTATAACTGTGATTAGCCCTACAAAGGAGATGTGCCCACTACTAAAAAATATAGACAGAGAGGTCAAAACCCTTCCTCTGAAGAAGTGATGATTGTCCTCAAATCTGAATGAGGCAGAGTTGACTCATATGGAGTAGAGAAGAGGAGGATATTGGGCAGAAACAACAGCACAAACAAAGGCCCTGGGGTAGGAGGGAGCCTAGTATAGATGAGGAACTGGAAGTGACCAGTGTACCTGAAGTGGAGGGGGCAAAATGGAGGGAAGCAGAGGCCAGGTCATGCTGGGCCTTGTAGGGCATGATTAAGAGTTTGGTCTTAAACCTGAGAGCAGTGGAAAGAGACATTTAGTTTTTAAGCAAGAGCAAAGACAGCAATTAGATGTGGGTTTCAAAAAAGATCACACAGTGACAGTGTAGGGATATATTAGATGGGGCCTGAAGGTAGAAACACTAATCAAAAGCCACTGCAATTGTCCAGGCAAGACAGGATGGAAACTTGGAAAAGGGAAGTGGTAATGAAAATAGAAATGGGTGGATAAATCTGAGACACCAGTTTTTGAAGACTTAAGTGATGGATTGACTATGGGGGTAAGGAAAAATAAGGTCATTTAGATTTACACTAAGGAACTAGGTAGTATCATTCATTTAGAGAACACTGAAGAGGAAAAGGTTTTTGGGAGGGAGGCAGAGAATTCTATTTCGGGTCCATTGTGTTGGAAATATATAAACTCCATAAAGGCACAAACAGGCTATGTCTTTCTTCTCTTGCTGTATCTTTAGTGCCATATGCAGTGAATGATGAATGGTAGGCACATCATATGTATTTGTGAAAATACATAAATACATATAATCTGAGAGAGAACACTGAAGTCTTTTCTGTGTGGAATTTTTTTTTTTTTTTGAGACAGAGTCTCACTTTGTCACTCTTGGTAGAGTGCCATGGCATCACAGCTTATAGAAACCTCCAGCTCTTGGGCTTAGGTGATTTTCTTGCCTCAGTCTCCTAAGTATCTGGGACTACAGGTACCAGCCACAACGCCGGCTATTTTTTTCTTGCAGTTTGGCCGGGGACAGGTTTGAACCCGCCCCTCTCAGTATATGGGGCTACTGCCCTACTCACTGAGCCACAGGTGCTGCCCTTCTGCGTGGAATGTTAATCTTATGCATCAACTTGGCAGGGCTATGGTGCCCAGTTGTTTGATCAAATGCTACAGGGGTGTCCCAAAAGTTACTCTTAAAGTTGCCATACATAGGGCAGCGCCTGTGGCTCAAAGGGGTAGGGCGCCAGCCCCATATGCCAGAGTTGGCGGGTTCAAACCCAGCCCCAGTCAAAACTGCAAAAAAAAAAAAAAAATACAGAGGGATATTGTAGCTAAATGTACCTTTATTTAAAAATATTCATTACAAAATAAAAAGAAATATTTATAAGCTATTCTCTATGTGTTGGCCACCTCTTTGTAAAATTTCACATTTTTCCCTATGTATGGTGTCTTTAGGGGTGACTTTTGGGACATCCTATAGTCCAGATGACACTGTGAACGTATTTTATAGATGTCATTAACATTTAAGTCAGTTAACTTGGCTTGGTGCCCAAAGCTCAGTGGTTAGGGTGCTGGCCACATGCATTGGAGCTGGTTGGTTTGAACCTAGCCTGTGTCTGCTAAACAAGAATGACAACAACAACAAAACAAAAAATAGCTGGGCACTGTGGGTGGCACCTGTAGTCCCAGCTGGTAGGCTGAGGCAAGAGAATTGCTTAAGGCCCAGAGTTTAAGGGTGCTGTGAGCTGTGTTGCCACAGCACTCTACTGAGGGTGACAGTGATACTTTGTCTCAAAAAAAAAAAGTTAATTTTTTAAAAGTTAATTTAAAAAAAAATTTTTTTTTCTTTTTTTTTTGAGACAGAGCCTCAAGCTATTGCCCTGGGTAGAATTCCGTGGCATCATAGCAACCTCCAACTCCTGGGCTCAAGTGATTCTCCTGCCTCTGCCTCCTGAGTAGCTGGGGCTACAGGCACCGGCCACAGTGCCTGGCTAT